GCTTGTGTAAATGAGGGTAATAGTGTAGATTTGGTGTATCTGGATTTTCAGAAAGCATTTGACAAGGTGCCACATAAAAGGCTTGTAAAAAATTAGCTCTATAGGTGTGGGGGATAAGTTAGCAAATTGGACAGAAGAGTGGCTGGATGGAAGAAAGCAGAGGGTTGTTACAAATGGAGTTCAGTCAAACTGGATTAATGTCACAAGTGGGGTACCTCAGGGCACAGTCTTGGGACCTTTGCTCTTCTTTGAGTTACATCAATAACATAGATGAAGGGATAGTCAATAAATTACTTAAATTTGCAGATATTAAGGTCTTGGGTGTTGCTAGGTGTGAAGAGGATGCTGTTGATTTACAAAAGGATTTGGATCATTTAGTGAGTTGGGCAAATAAATGGAAGATGGGTTTTAATTATAATAAATGCAAGGTAATGCATGTGGGTTATCATGATTTGAATTATAAGTATAATTTGGATGGGAATAACCTTAACAGTGTCATAAAAGAAAGGGATCTTCATGTAATGGTTGATCAGTCTCTAAAGCCATCCAAGCTGTTGCTAGTGGTAGGGCAAATAGGATTTCAGGTTGTATCTACAGAAATATTGAATACAAGTCCAAAGAGGTTATATTTCATTGTACAGGTCACTGGTTAGGCCACATTTGGAATATTGTGTTCAGTCTTGGGCTACTTACCTTAGGAAAGACATTTAATTGTTGGAAAGGGTTCAGAGAAGAGTTACTAGAATGGTACCTGGGATGGAGGGGCTGAAATCTCTCAAATTGTTTTCTCTTGAAAAAGAAGAGTTATGATTGAGGTGTTTAAGACTGTAAAGGGAATTGATATTGTTAATGTATCATCTTTATTTATCTTTAACAATGAGAATAGTAGGACTAGGAGACACAAATATTAATTTTGGCAAGGTAGGAGTCATATTCAGCTAAAACAGTTTTATTTTTCTAATAGGGTGTTTAGCCTTTGGAATTCATTGCATTTAGATGTTGTAGAGGCAATAAATTTAAGTGAGTTTAAGAAAAAGCTTGATAATTATATGAATGAAAAGGGCTGGGTTTAAAATTTTTGTATTATATATTTTCTAATCATGTTAATTTAGTTTGAGGATGGAACAGCTGAGATGGACCAATAGGTCCCATATTGTCCCAAAATATACACC